CAGTAAGATACGTAAATACATGCACAGCGCCGGGGAAGCAGGTGGGTGCGAGGACTGGCGCCGTGCCCAGGTTTTTCTTCTCCTGGATTTTGTGTGCATGTGAAATAGGTGCCAGCTCTTCTTCCAAAATTCATAAAAGAAACCTATGAACAACAGTTCTGTCCTGTTAATCATTTAACCAGCCTCACAAAGAACATCTGGTAAAAAAATTGTCTGTGGCTGGCACACGCTTCAAACAACAAGGCAGCTTTGATTTGTCACAACAGAAACTCATCTTCAGTTTGACCTAAATGCCAATTGCAAAAAACTGGCACAGTTCTGGGTGAAATATAGGTGCTTGAGATTTCTAAAAAGTTGCTGTTTCAAGGAAATACATGCAAGCATTTATATCTGCATCCCTCATAGATCCGTTTAGCTCCGGGATCGTTCTCTCCAATCCGCCTACTTGCCTTTTGATTTTTTTTTTTTTTTTTGAGCTCTTGGTGTGTTGTAGTAAGGATGCCTTGTTGTAATGCGCAGCACATTAAGCTCCATATTTCAGCAAGATTTTGAACCCTATGAGCATAATTTTTCCTCAAGTTCATAAGGCTTTCCTGGCCAGCAAGAGAGGAGTGGGGGTTTTTCTTCTTTATTTCTGCTTTGTCACAAAAAAAGCTTTCTTTAACCTTGGGGTATGTTTCATGTGCAAATACAGACGTTTGGAGAATTTTTAAAGATTTCAATGGCGTTCTGAAGAATTTTTTTTTTTTAATTAAGTAAAGCAGGAGAAAAAAACTTGCTGATTATTACTTTTTTTTGTCGACCGTAACTACTTTTCATGTTGAAGTAGAAGTGCAGGTGAGGATAGAATTTGTAAAACACACACACACACACACACACACACACACACACACACACACACACACACACACACACACACACACACACACACACACACACAGTGTGCAGAAATAAAAGACGAGCTCTTTCATGCAAGGGCGACATAGCATGGTGAGGGCAGGGGAGGGAGACTGTTTAGGAGTTGGGGACAGATCAGGGGGTAATGGGGGTCTGTAATCAGGGCCACCAATAATTTAGAGGGAGAGAGGAAAAGGGGGTGTGGCGAGGGGGGGGGGCGGTGCAGAAGAAGTGGTAGTTGTATGATCAAAGGCTAAGTGAATTGTGTCACAGACAGACGGAGAAGAATGGCATTGGATAGTGTGACTTGCATTTTGATTTCCTTTGAGGGGGTGGTGGGAGTTTTTAGAAGTAGGTCCCCGTTTTGATCCCATTACCAACTGCACTCAGGTCACTTGTTTTTGGAGAAGACGACCATAAAGGAGTGGGTGTGACAGAGTTAAAGGAAAGTTTTGTGATTAATGTTTTTTTCTCACAGCGAAACCAAATCTTTTCTAAAACTTAATGTCAGTGGTTTACCTGTGACGGGTTTACAAAAAACGCCTTTTGTGTTTATATGAAAGTGTATAAAATATAAATATGTTGACAAAAATATGAAATGTCATGTAAACCTGACATAGAATACTCTCATAGCCATAGAGAAAAAACAAATATTACAAACTCAACTTTGAAATTTCAATTAAAAATGAAAGAAGTCACTACTTGATTAAAAGTATGACTCAATCTTCATATTATACTAAATATGTAGTATAGTACTTCGAAGATGGTATCACATTAAAAACGATCCCATGTGAGCAAGAACTTTCTCTACAGGTGGTTTTGCAGAAGAGGGTGGGGGATGGCAGGGGGTGTGGCCAGCTTGAGTGACAGGTGGAGTTCAATTCCCTGCCAGGATTTCATTGAGAGTGTGGCCTCTGTAAAGAGATATTCATGTGAAAGGCTGCCTCCCCCAGGGGCAGGACAGGCAGGGGAGAATAAGAGCCGCCCCCTTGTGGTACTACGGGGGCGCCGGATGCCCTTCACCCAAAACCCTGGGTACGGAGGAGTGGAGCTAAGTGGAGCAACGGGGTGTTTCCAGTGGGCTGAGCTTGTGTGATTTGGGGCCTAGCAGGGAGAGCAAGCAGTTGGAACACAAGAGGACACAGTCTCTGTCATTTCAACTGTGTGTGAAGGCATGTTTGCATATGTGCTCATTACTGCTTTGTGTGCACGGGCAGTAGCTGTGACCCACTTCACTAGATCACCGTCTCTCATCCAGCGCGAGCTCCTTTTCCTTCTGCTTCCCATCCCCACATCCATTAACGCCTATGTCAACATCTGACAAAAAAAAGAAAAATGGCTGCGGTGGAGATAATGGTGCAATGGCCAGCCTCTAAAATAACAACATGGTCCACAACAACAACACTGCCCCATTTGGAGTGCAAGATCCCCCGCACAATGGCCCAGTGTTCAGGACCCAGGGGCACAGGCGGGGCTCCCCGCTGCCATCCAAGCTGTTAGACAAGCAGGAGAGAGAGGTCATAATCACACAGACTGAGACACAGATTGAGCCTCTTTAGATCCCCTCCTACACTGACTCTCTCTGCTTCCTCCCCCCCAACAGCCTGCTCACAGGGTATCTTGCATGAAATTCAAAATGTTACCTTACTTGACTGGGATGCCTCGGAGAATTGTTACGGTTTGTAGAATGATGATATATGGGAGGGGCAGATCGGGATATGCAGGTTGAACGGAAACCTTCACTAGGTTATGCTCTTTTATCTTTCTTTCCCTTCAATTTTGGCATCCTCCAAAGGCTGAAAGGGAGAGAGTGCTCTGAAATTATCATACCAAATGTGTATGTAATGTATACCTGTGCTGCCTCCCTGCTCCTGCCAGCCCTAGGCTAATATCCATTTTCCAAACAGTCATCCAGAGCATGTTGGCTCTCTGCTCTCTGTCTTGTTTATAAGACAAAAGGGAGCTTTGAGAACATGCGCAGTGAATCCATAAAATGCAGACAGACAAGGTAACTGCATCCTGTGGATTCGTGAAAAGGTGTTTGGATTCAGAGGAGCCTTGATTCATCATGACCTCCTCTTTACTCTGTTTAGAGGATGATCAGTTTTGATTTGAGGGACAAAGGTTGTGATTGAATATTGGAGTTTAATCTGTTTGTGATTTCTCCAGTGCAGCCTCTACTGTTGGTGCCTGTTGCTCCACTATTAAAACTGATGCCAGTCCCTTCATCAGATTTCATCCCTAAGCCAAAACGAAAATATGCTACACTGTGGAGCTCCCTAACGGCACACGTTGTCCACATTCCTTCCGCATGACTCTTCCGTAGTCCACCTGATTTGCATTTGACCCCCTTAGTCTCATCCTCAGTCTTCCCCAAAACTCCTTTAGGTCAGGGGCTCGACCCCTGTGCCTTGTGGCACTGAAGTGATGACGCACTTTCTGAATATCTCTTCAGCTGGCCTGCTGCACGACTAACCTGCTCCCAATGTTAAAAATGGGGATCAAAGATCAAGGGTCATCAGAGGGAGAAGGGTATCTTGGGTCATCAGCAGTTGCTCAGGGGCCAGAATGGCCAGGGGCTCGGCGCCACTGAGGTGGGCACTGGGGTGCTGTGGTCATTGGGTTAATAGGATAAGTGGCCTGCAGGTCAGTTTGGCCCAGTTCTAATGCTAATACCGGAGCTTGTCTTTGCACTGTTGCCAGGGTGGGGAACAGATCCAGGATTTTGGGACTCCACTTGGTTACAGTGTTAATCCAATCTTGTTTGAGCAGGTCATTATTTCATCCTAGTGATTGGCTGACAACTGTAGTTGTGCTCTACTTTTTGCTTTCGTTTCATTTTTTTGGTTTGGGTTTGTATGTTTCACGTCTTTTATTGCACTTTTCAGTTCAACTAATGGCCTGCTGTGATTGTAGGTGTTATCTGTTAACTTCCCTCACGAGACGCCTCTTGGGAGTGCAGACTAGCACATACACAAGATTGATGATTTGATAAGTCTAGTGGTGTCTCGATGTAATATAGATTTGTTTTTAAATTTTCATTCTGTGACAACCTGTCTTAAAATTAGCTACTCTCTTGCCTTGGCTAGAGAGTGGCTAATTGTCTAGACGACTCAAGTAAAGTAACAGAAATGCTTTGAGATAAATTCTTTAAGATAAATGCTTCTGTTAGTTTGTAGTTGTTAGAGGAGGCTGCCACCGCATTCTTTTGTGGGCTCAGTGAGTGAGTCAGTGTTTGTAATGTCTGCCATCCTTTAGCTTTAATCTTCTCTAAAGACATTGTCTGAGCGCTTGTTCTGCAGAGCCTTTTGGCACAGAGAACTGGGCCAATTTAGTGGCCTTGCGTGTAATGAGAGAACAACTCAAGATACTCTGATAGACACTAATCAGACTGTGTGCATTGGTGTGAAACGTCCACATCCAGCTTTAATTTAATAAGAGAAGATAAAACATATCCAGTCAGGTTGTGTGCATGCACAGACACAATAGAAATGGCAGCACCATTAATCATTTGCAGCAGCAAGAGTGGAAGTAGACATAACACATCTTTCCTTAAGTAGAAATTCAGTTAAAATCTGCCTCATCAGCCGATCCGTGAAAGCGCATAAATCCCAGTTTTACTAATCTGCTACTATTCTTTGAGAGGTCTGGCAGAATGATCTACTATATGTTGAGATCCTGCGTGATTTTGCCACACACAGCGAAAACTTCAGAGATGTCTAATGCTCTTAAGCTCTTGTGTTTCACTGTGGAAAATAGGTGACAAGCGGATTATACTCCCTCAAACAAAGTGGGTTGGGGGGAGCAAATCTATAAGCCAGTGATGCCTGGACCCTCTCACTTCTCACATCGTGCGAGGCGGCTTTTCGTGTTCTCTTGAAACACTGCACATGTTAGTTTTTTGTCAGACACATAATGCCATGTTTAAATGCGACTTGCGTCGCATGCCAAAACTTTTAGCCAGTCTTTGTTGCATCAGTGGTGGAGTGCAAATTTTTACACTGAGGGATACATAAAAAGGTTGCCCATGGTCACCCTTGAGATTAATAGTAACTCTGTACCTTTTTGATATGAATACTTACCTATCCCTTCTTTCTTCTTTGCAGATGCATCCTTTGGGACTTTGTAATAATAATGATGAGGAGGACTTATATGAGTATGGCTGGGTCGGAGTGGTGAAGCTGGAGCAACCAGAGCTGGACCCCAGTTGTCTCACTGTGCTGGGAAAGGTAAAGAACTATGGATGTATATCTTGAACTACATTTGCCTACATAACGTTTCCAACACATTTTAGTTGACACTTAAATTAATCTTCAGAAAATGACACATTACAGATGAATCAACACCTTAAACTCTTTACAAGAGTATGTGAAAAACAGGCGCCAGACTCTAGACTACACTTATCACTTTGCATTCACATGAAAAAGTACTCTATGAGCACGCAGCATGACATGCATTAAGGTGCCACTGCAGATGAGGTGACTTGTGCAAGGAAATGAAAAAACACAAACATATTGCAGTTATGCCTTTAGTCATTTTGACACTTTAATGTGATGAATTTCTTTAGTTGAGACCATATTTGTGGCATTAAGGCTGTTAATTTAGGTGTATAGTACTGCTTGATTCATTGCATATTGGAAGATTGCCTGGCCCTATTCAGGGTGAAAATTCTCATCAGTTTTCAAAACTGAAAAAAAAAAAGAGTTAAAAACATTTTTTGACAGCTGCTATCTACTGCCAATTTTCACATCATGGTACACGATTAAACTGAACGACTAATAATTGGATTACTATTTGCTTGTAAACACAATCTTTGGAAATCTTAAGGGTACAGATCAAAATAAACTACGCTATCAGGTGTATTAAATGTTTGGGGCACAAGAGTTTTGGCTCCGTGAGCGACGACGAGCAGAAATGTGCAGACAGCATGGTGTTTTGTATATACTGCAGAGAGTTCTCCCTTTGCTACACTCGAGTCAGGAAAAGTGTTTCCCTTGTACTTAATTAAACCGTAATAAGAATTTATCTTTGATCTTTTGTACTCACAAATTCACGGAAGGATGGTTTTTGTTTTATTTTGTGTCTTACTTCCCGTTGCTGGGAGAATGAGGGTGGACTGAATCCGTCCCTTGTCTCTCACCACCCCCCTGTCTCCATCCTTCCCTCCCTCCCCCAGTGCTCCCAGACCCCTCTGGAGTCTCAGTGGTATTTTATCATGCTTTAATTAAGTGTTCCTCTTAATGGAATGTACCAACATTCCCTGGAGGATGTGGTGGTGGTGGGGGGGGGGGTATATAGTCTCATTTATCCTCTGCATGCCCGGTGACAGAGAGCAGCCATTCATAATTTAAGGAGCCCTTGTGCTGGGATGGTTGCTGCTACCTCGCTGATGCATACTTGCATGCTGCAACCTGAAAACCGACCTAATGTTCAGCACTCAAGCTCCTCTTCGGGCTTCACTCACTAGTAAATGGTAATCACTGAGGCGATGCATCCAAGTTAACAGTTCCAAAGTAAACTATATAACTGGCTTAACTTTTTGGAAAAAGACGGTATCTCTGGTTCTGCTGCATTATCGTGAATCCGGCATTGTTGAAGGAGCGCAATGCTAAATTGGTGGAGCAGTCTTAAGTAAAGGTACCAATATGGATTTGAACCTGATCTCCTGTGTTTAGCGACAGGCATTTAACATTAGCTAAGGGATGGGTCGCTAAGTTAGGAAGGCTGACATTGAGAACCAGGTTGTCAGTTTTTGTCATGAGATTACGGTCGCAGAGGGACAGTCGCAGAGAGAGATGTGAAAGATTGAAGAGAGAGGGTGGACGGGTGACATGTGATCAAGCCAGATTCAGATCCAGAATGTAGTGGGTACATGGCATGTTCCTTAGCCAGCTGAGCCACGAGGACACCCGAGTTCCAGAAACCCACACCTTCCGCTCATTGCAACCAGTCAAAGCATAGCACTAATGAGCTGGCCATTTTTATACATTCTGGGTTTGGTGTTTTTCTAAGGGACACTAGTAAACATGGCAGGAACTTTTGTCTGTGACCTTTTGGCCTCCAGCCAGCCTCCCTAACCTCTAGACCACTTTGTATCCTCTGTTTTTATTCAGCCAGGACTATAATTAGAGAAGGGAAAGCCCATTGTTGCATCTTGACAGACCCTCGCCTGGGGCCCAAACACAGCTGGGTGCTTTGCGTTGGCACCACCACTTTTGCCAGGCCAGACAGTGCAGTGTGTGCCCCCCCCCCCCCCCCCCCAGTCTGGATATTATGCCCACTCTTACACACTCACCCGCCTGGTCTGGCCTCATGCTTGGCAGCCCCCGCCCCCCTCCCGCCCTACCCGATTGGCCGCTGATTGAACCCAAGAGTCCAGTCCACTTTGCTGCCACTTTGCCACCAACAGTGTTGGGGTCTTGTCTGGTCAGTTTAGATTCCATTCAATTACAGAACCACAGTGAACGCGCAAAATGAAATTATAGTGGGGAAAAAATTGTGTTTGGGTCAATCCACGTCTAAATATAGTGTCTGTGAACACAAGGCCCCCAGCTGTGCTTAGGAGCTGGTCAACATGTAACAACGGGCATTCCCTACTCCATGTAAACTGAATACATGAAAGGGGCTCGCCTTTATTTTAAGTGTCCAATCCTAATTGGCTAATGCATATGTTCATCCACATATTATAGAGAGTATGGTCTAGACCTGCTCTATATGACAAGTTCCCTGAGATAACCTTATTCTGTTATGATTTGGCATTGTATAAATATATTGAATTTTACTACAAAGGCTATTGCTTTTAATGCCATTGTTGTCGGTAATTATGTCTATGTGATTTTAGCTTGTACTAAATTATTCATCTTAGTGACTCAAAGATATCTGACTGCTCCAAATGTCACAGAGAGATGCTCTGAAATCATCAAATATTAGCAGTAGAGGAAGAGAAGGAAAAGAGGTCAGTCATGCCAGCCTCTGAAGTCCATGTGCAAAGCATACCAAAGTGCTGGGGTGTCACATATATGTACACAGTTTTTTCCTGAACTTCCTGTCTGGTTCCTGTGAGAGCTGCAGGACTGTTAAACCGCTGACGTCGATATGCCACAGCAGTAACCACTCCCCCTCAAAGCAGGAAAACCATGAGCAAATCGCTCCTACTGTAGCCAACTGTGTTTGAGACACTCTTTGAAGTAGTTTAACTGTCTGAGTTATGGTGTCATATAAGGATGACACTGCAAGGTGTCCTGGTGCTAGAAGAACATAGTAACAAATAGTTGCTTCTCTTTAGCTACAGCTTATCAAGTCTCTTTGATGATTTGGAAATGTTGTAAATCATGCTTACACCTCTGCACACATGGATCCCTTCTCAAGTTGAACTATTTATTGCACTCAATAACATACTGTAGGTTGTCATTTCCTCCCTGGTGCCTGACTTTCTCAGAACTGACCTCCCTTCCTCCTTCTCTACACTGTCTTTCACACACATACACTGCAATTTTTGGCAGCTCCTCCGGAACATGAAATCATGCCACTGGCTTTCATTGGTGTCCCAGCCTGGTTGAGGTCTTTGTCGCTGTGCCAGGGAGATATCTTTACTTTTAAGTACCGCGTTGTCAGTCCAGTGCCCTCACAGGGCCTTAGCCGGCTTTTCCCCTTTCATCCTCCACAGGCTCTCATGACATCAGCCCCCAACCGTGGGAGGAAGGACAGAGACGCGGAGTGGTGGCAGATGGAGAGAGGAGTGGGAGTTAGAGGACAGAGGGAAGGGAAAGAAGTTGGGGGTTTGGATTCTCAAGGAGATGACGAAGGCAAATGTGTCTGGTTTGGTAAGTGGGTGGCTGGGATTTGTGTCTCACTTGGTACAACTATTTTTTTTTTTGTACGCACATAAGCCGAAAAATGCGACCCATCCTCCCACACAGCCCTCCAGCTTGTGTAAAGCAAGCCTCTTGGCTGGCATAGCATGTAAAACTCCCTGGTATGTGCTTGTTGTGTGTGGCCTGGCACTGCCCTTAACCATCTCGTCTCTGAACCACAATCAGTTCCACCTTAAACACCAGCCAAAGACAACATTTCATCGCAGCTGAGCGCAACTGGCCCAAGACTGGCCGCTACAAAGCACTTAAAAATAACTGGAGCAACAAGAAAAGTATCAAGATCTTTATTGACATATCCTCCCAGAAATAAAGCTAGCTGCTTTAAAGTTTTTGCCAGAGGCACACAACCATAAAAAGTGTATCCTGTGTGGGAAGCCCTGTCTTTGACACACATGCAAACACAATACTAAAACCACAGTTGCCATGGAACAATGTGATGGGGCAGAGCAGTGTGTCTATGGGTTTTTTTTTTTCTACCGTGGCCCTCAAGTTGGCACTATGAGACCACGGGCCAGAGCAAACAGCTGCTGTGTCTTAGCGCTAAGTGGCTTTTGGACTCTAACCATGTCTGGCATCTCAGCCAGAGCTGCAGAGAGGTGTGTGTGTGTGTGTGTGTGTGTGTGTGCGGGGGGGTGATTGGGATATAGAAAGTACACGAGAGCTACAAGGACTGTGTGTGTGTGCGTCTGAAGAAAAGAGAGACCTGCATTAAAAGAAAGAAATGGCAACAGACAGATTAGTGTGATATTGTGGGCGACTGGCTTCGAGCCTGCGGCCAGGTTAGCTGTCCTACACACTCAGGTGTGTGCTAGAGGTCGACCTGAGGCCACGGCAATGCCAGTAGGGTGTCAAGCCGCAGGGCTTGTTGTAAAGAGGCTTCAATGCTGGATTGAACTGGCTGCAGTCTGACCTTGTTTTCAGACCACTTCCAAGCGTGTTGGCCTTCATGGACAGGAATACTGTCTGATCAGTGGGTGTATTTGTTGATGTGGGTATGTGCAGGCATTAGCTCATCCACTGTTTATCAGTCGGGATAAGCAGAACTAGAAGGCTGGCAGATCAGCTTGTGTTTTGCTGCAGACGACTATATGACTCACCGTGTCTCTCTCATCACTCTCTTCTCACTCCTTTTTACTTTTTCATGCCTTCCCCATCTGTCTCTGCCAAGACCTTAGTGAAGCAGAGAGCCTTGATAACAGAAAGTAAGAAAATTGCTGTAGTTTTACACGCTGTAGTCTCCAGAGTGTTTTGTTAAATTGCAGAGAAGCCACAATAGTGATTGATTTACAACAGCCGCTTTTGTCCTGTAGAGATGAAGCTTGTTGGGGGGTTTTTTTCTCAGAGTTTTTAAAAGAAATCTTTTCATAGTGAGCCAGAAATATGCAGGATATTGATGATACAAATGTTCCCTGTGCCTGTGCTAAAAATGATGGGGCTTACTTCCTTTCAGTTGAGCACGGCAAATTGAAAGTCAATTTTCGGGTGTTTAAATCAAAGCATCTAACACTGGCAGCTGAAGCATGAAGTATAATGGAGGCTAATGTTATAGTAACTTCATAAACTTCTCTGCCTTGTCAGATGTAGCAAGTTGATGTAGTTTTCATCAAACTTTTACTTGAGTTACATTTGTTTAGCAATGTGCCTTTCTGAAATTGAAAGATGTGCTTTTTGTCAAATTCAAGGGTTCTAGAAAAAACTTTCTCCTTATTTCCCACATTTAATTTTTGCCACAAAAGCATGAAAAAAGTTATAGGCACTCCTAGTTCTCAAATATTTCACATGATTTAAATTTCATTCAATTTCAACTCAATTAAGTAACAAATAATTGCATTCACAATTCACAGGAATCAAATCAAGTAGTCAAAAAAAATGAAAGAAGTCACAGGACCAAATCAAACTTAAGCAGTGAGCAGTCTAGCTACCCTTGCGGTGTGAAGGGGTAAAATGCACAGGCTAACTCTTCAGCTTCCTCTCCACCTGCCCCTTGCCCCAAACACCCTGAACAAACACTTTCAAAATGCCGCAGCATGGAGGGAGGGATAGAAAGAAAAAAAAAAAATTAAGAGAGGAGGAGCAGCAGGGAGACGAGAGGGGGGAGGGGGGAAGCACAGTGCACTCAGGGGCCTGCCTCTTGGGCTCTCCTTTCATGTTTGTGTACGCCTCAACTTGCTGATATTATCTTGGCCGCTCTTCTTGGCGGGGTGTCGGGAGAGGTTTCCACTGTGACCAGGAAGGGGCCTCTCTCGCTTTCTGTTTCTTTATGTCTCTCTGCCTCTCTCCACCCCTCTCTCTCTGGCTGTGTTGGGACCCCCCCCCCCCCCCCTCCACAAGTCCCTCTCTTAAATTCCTAAATCACCGCTTCACCATGTTTCACAGCGCTTGGAGGCGCCCAGGATCCCACTGCGCTCGTTTCCATGGTCACTGGGAAGCTTCTTGTGTCATGTGGCTCAAAGTGAGCCGTCCCTGGGCCGAATTACCCAGCTTTCAATGGGAGGCCAAATGACCATTATTAGACTTCACAGCTCAGGCCCCTATTTAAAGAGAGAAGAAAGGAGCCATGGGGACTTAAGATGAGAGAGAGATGGAGGGAGAGAGAGATGGGGTGAATGGAGAAAAAGGGAGAAGAAGAGAGGAGGGGAAACGAGAGGAATGAGAAGAAAGTGCACTTGGCACCTCTCTGGAGATGTTTCTTTAAATTTTCCCCCACCCTTACATTGATTTTTGTCCTTAATCGCAATTGGTATTTGAAAGTCACGAGTAAAGCCCTCCTGTCTGTCAAACAGCGCCCAGAGAAGACAGGGCGGCGCGGCGCTGGATCAAAAGATGAGCTGTGGAAAAAGTAAATCTTAGAAAAGATAGGACCAGACATCCACCCACGTCAACCAAAAGCCCTGTCTTTTCTCTCTTCATCTCTGTCTAAGCCTGTTGCTTTGTAGGGGAATCTGTGTGTGTGTGTGTGTGTGTGAGAATCCTTGTGTCCTGCGCCTTGCTGTGTATGTCAGGAACATGTTGTCTTTAAGGCTCGGGCCACAGCCTGGCACGGAAGCTGGAAACTGAAGCCTTCTGGTCCCCACACAGCTCATCTGATGCCTCTTCCCACTAAAGCCTGTATGATTCCTCTACTGGAGGGACGATGACATTGGAGCTGCCCAGGCTCTGAGACAGTGAGGTAATGGAAGGAGAAACACAAACATGGAGATAGGGAGGGGTGAAGAATGGCAATGCACCTGGCAGAAACATTAGCATTGTTTACTGGAGACTAATATAACAATAAAATTTAGATGAGACATCTGGATGGCAGTTGTCCATGGTTATGTTTCTTTCAAAAAGGTTTTTACTTCTTTAAATTAGAAAAATGTTTAATTCGTTTATTAAAGTATAACAATACTTTTATTTAAAACTGTACTTAAAGATAGTACTTCATTAGCCCTGGGTATAGTCTGATAGTAGGTATATAATTGTTGACCAGACTGATCACCAAAGATATTATAACAGAGAGATTACTTGCTGAGATAAGACAACAATGAAGTGTTATATCGAAGTCGAATCAGGTAAACACACCTGAGTATTGCACCTTCTTTTTGCCATGCTTCGTTCAAATCCTATTTACAGCCTCTGACATTCCTTGCTTTGATGTTATCTTTATTGGGATTTATTAGGTGTTTGATGTTTGGTGAAGAGATGGATTTGTAGATTGGCTTTTTTTGTGACCAGTTCAACCTAAAAGAAAAAAGTGGTTATACCTTCAGAGGAAAGATCTAAGAAAATTAAGCCTGGAGGTTTGGAAGCATTGTCCTAGCTTACCTAAAGGGGAACTTACCCATCAAAGTTTGTTTGCAGGTCTTGGGGAGTACTACTACATATACAAAACAAAAGTTGTACAAAGCCATTTGTGTCTCCAGAGGGAGCTTTATGAAGTCTCATAAATTGCAAGTGATGTCACTTGAGGCCGTGTCGGTTGGGGCTGAAGAGTAGGAGTTTGAAAATGAAAACAGTCTGGGGGTGTGGAATTAGAAAGAAGTGAGTTTACCTGATCTCTGTGGTCCACTGCTTGAGGCTAATGGCTCGAGGCTACATTAGCAGCTACACAAACCCAAATCTCTCACTGATCATTCGTCAGTCGGGTTGCATTGTGGGTAATGCAGACACTGGGTTTGACAAGGAAGAAGAATGTGTGGAATAAAAATGACTTTATCACTGGTTCTGCTGCATTTATTCTTTTAATGCAGAACATCTTAGTAGTCTGAGACTGCTACTTTGATCCACATTCATTCTCATCAATCATCAAAAGGCAAAGCATTTGCTGTCTCTTTCGACTTTGTCACTCCTTTGATGATATCCATCACTGTCAGTCAGTCTGAAGAAAGTTCCTCCTCCTTTCAAATAAATGATGTTCCCAGTCAGCTTCTTCTTCAGCACTTTCTTTAACATGTTCATCTGCTGAGAAGAAATGAACAGCCAAAGGTTACGTCAGTCTTCTTCACTGGCCTGGTGTGAGGAAGACTGCACAGTGGGAGACAGAGGTACAGTAAGAAAAGAGGCAAAATAGGGGTTATAGGGCTGAGTCCTGACCTGCTCTGCCTTGTTTGCCCAGAGAAAGAAGACAGCAGGCAGCAGCAACACCCCTCCACCAGCAGCAGGACAGAGCGTTACACGAGAGAGAAGCAGCAACAGGAACGTCTCTTTCATGCAAGCAGGGACATGGTCGCAGCTTCAAGGCAGAGAGAGATTAGAGAAAAACCGTATGACTGCAAACGAATTAAGGGAAGGAGAGAAGTAGCCGTGTCGAGATGCCTCAGCTCGCCTGTAATCTCAACATTTGGATTGAAGTGCGTGTTCACACTATAGCATCCTGGGTAGAGGAAAGCACAAATACTGCTATGTTGCTGTTTTCAGTTACATTTCTAAAGGTACAGTCATGTTAACCAACATGCTTAGAATTGATTCAGTCTGCCGGTCACGTCAGCAGTCAATGGCAGGTGCACCTGTGGTTGGTAGTTAGCTCAGGAGGTGGAACTAGCTGTTTTTTCTTTGGGCTGAAAAGCTTCTGCTGACTGAGCAAGCGCTGAACGCTTTCTTCCCAGGAGCTGTTTCGGCTGCGCTGGTCAGTTGCCTGGCTCACACGTGTTTTGACGGAACACTCCCTTTTTAATCTATACAGCTTTCTACACAGTTTGCGTAACAGCTTTGGTTACTACACGGATAACCGCAACCTGAAGCATTTCCTTAATTCTACTCGTCACTACAGTGATTGTGTGTTGGACTCTGAGCACTGCCAAAATGTCAGTGACATATTCTGAATACTGTGCCTAAATGTATCCTGTGTGGATGCAGACGGTAGACTGAAGCTGCTACCTTTTGCTCTGCTAATGTGCTGCTAACACTACACAGCCTGCGTAGGCATTGTGTAGTGTTAGCTGTCAGCTAGCTCTACCAATATTGGAGATAAAAGCGTGTGTGCTACTGTAGTAGCATTACTTAGTTTTGGTGTAGACCGAGGCTGGATTACAGAGTAAATGGGGCAATTGCAGTAGTTTTAACAGATTTTCATTGAAACATCATGGATTTAATGGCTCTGCCTAAAATGACATTGTGAAATACAGTGAGTAGTTCTTGACTTAGATATACATGGAAATAGTACATGACATTAAAGCCGAAAGGAAAAAACAGAAAGTGAAATATATTTAAAAAATATATAAATGCTCTCTGACTTAAACCCGTCCGACCTACTGTTTTCATATCCAAGACTGTTAGCAGAGTTGTCTATATCCTTGAAAAATACTTAACATTTGATCTGTTGTGTGCCAGGAGACTTGCAGCAGGCAGGCAAGCATAAATCTAGCCTTGCACTCGTCTTTACTTGCTCCCAAATTTATCGTCTTCCCTCACTACGTCTGACTCTCTCTGACTCAGCTCTCATCTCATGAAAAATATGGTAATTCAGTATTTTCAATACCAAGAAAAGTTTCTTGCACCTTTGGGTGTTCCTTTGAGAGCTGAGAGTCAAAAAAAAAAAAATCTACCACCGTATAATAAAAATCAGACATGCATGTATTAGTATTTCTTAACTTAGTGCTTTTCTTTGTAACAGATAAAACTTTAATATTCACAGAGAAAAACATCGACTGACTGACAGCAGGCCTATCCATGCATAAAAAAATAGGTATGGTCAACACTAATCATTTCTAACCAAGACTTCCTGTCACTTTCAACGCCTCTTTAGACACCAGGAGTAGAAGAAGCACTTAAAGTAAGTAGTATTCTTGTCCTTAGCAGGGAAGCTTGTTTATTTTCCTGTAAATCACAAAGGGCCAGAGTCCAAAACCGGTAAGAAAACAACATGGGAGGGACAGAGAGGAAAAGTGGAGGAAATTTAATTAGCGGTTGTCCATTCCTCAGGCCCCAGCAGTTTGGTCTCGGCAGGGCAGAGCAGTGGGCAGCAGGAGGAGAGAAGACTAAAAGTCTTCTTGATAAGCAGCGGCCTGAGTCAATGCGTTTGCATCCGTTATCATGTTTGTGGAGAGACAGGAAATGCTGCCTGTGGTGCACAACAAGCAAGACAAACATGTATATTTAGAAAGAAAGATTTAAATTTTTGGTATTTCACAGGAACATTGAGTTTAGTGCATGAGCCATCGTTTATTATTTATCATATCTTCACTCAACAGATTTAAGAAAAATAAATGTCCTGCTGTTTGAAAGCAACGTTAAAAGGACGGACAAATTCGACTGAGATCTTGATGAAAGTTCTGAAACGGTTTCATAAAAACCAGTGTTTGCTCAGAAATCCTTCCCTGTGGCCACAATGATGACAAGCGTTGAAATGTTTCAGAACAATAATCTCTTTCTTATAAAACCCCCAAAATACTTTTACTAGTACTGCTATTATATGTCCATCATCCTCCAGTAGGTGATTTTTGCATTGCATTCCTGTGATTAAAAGTCACTTTGTCAGTTAGTAGAGTCTGTCACTCCCAAAAATAGATAATAGGCTCAAGTAACTCATTTATTATACCTTTTTATATTAAAATATTTATATCAGATATCATTACATCATTACAGGTAGTTTAATTTATAGAGCTAAACCGCAACCTGCCACATCTCGATGCTGCTACAATTGTATTGTTTAAAATGTTTTGATACTAGAGTGGTTACCAATACCAGAGTTTTAATACCAATAACAAAACTGTACTTTAAAAAAAATATCTTCAGGAAACTTTGTTCGTTTGCTATACATTGGCATGTGTTTTTTAAGCCATAGGTTCATTAACAAGAAGGAACAAACAGTTTCAAGAAAACGACACCCACTCACCAAATTGATGAATTAATTTTATTTATCACGTCACTATATTTAGATGACCCCTAATAAGATTCGATGCTTCGATGGGCGGAGCCTGATTCGACTGTCAATCTCACAGTCGAAGCTTCGCAGCGAAACGAGGAACATGCCACTTTGGCCATATGGGGGTGTTCAACGTCTGATTTTACACAGAATTGCCAGTTTTCTACAATTACAATATACATTTCAACATTTAATGCTGTAAAAAGTGCGTAAATAAATCCAAAATTGTAACCCTAACCCTGGATCGTCAGTGCGCGAGCGGAACATTTGCAGAAGAGACAGACGCTGGTGTTGTGCCGAGTTTTTCGCACCTCGCGGGACTTTCGGATAATTTATCACCGTTGATGAACCAAACAAAGAATATTTTATGGTTTTTAAAATAGCCGGCTAAGTTACTTGAAATAGACCCGCGAGGGATGCAGTTGTCGGCAGCAGTAATGCACGCAAAACTAACACAAGACAGGTGAAGGACAGGCGCGAGAGAGAAAAGGGTCTTCATAAGCCTCAGTTTGGCTGGACGCCCCCCCGGCAACACACACTACAGACAGTAGGCCTACTTGACGATTCTGATTCGACTATGTAAGTCCTTAGTCGGGGACAGCCCTAATATAGAGCATCTTGCATCTAGGGACTGGAGTATTTGATTACATCCTATCAATCGGTATATAACAGATCTTTTTGGGTTGTAAACATCGAAAAAACTTTTACTTCCCTAACTAGGGGTGGCCCGAATGGCTCCTCACACTCCTTTATGCATTAACCTTAATATAAATACCCCCCCCCCCCCCCCCCCACACACACACACACACACACCCCTTTAATGGGGC